CGGCTTTTTTCATGGCCTATAAAAATTTAAAATTAAATTTGAAAAACGTTTTCTACGCGATATGTATTTTTAGTTTAGAAAGGATGAAAACTGGTATCGATAATTTGAAAAATTTTTTCCCTAAAATTCATAGAAATTTAATTTCATTGTCTCTCGTTGATCACGATGAAAATATTTTACTACGAGATATAAAATATTATCCCGTGAATAAATACGTATAAACAATAATAAAATTATATTAAATGAAATTTATATTTATTCGCTAAGCAAATAATTTACTTTACCTGACACTCGCTCAACTCTTTCAACACTTTCTCGAGATCAGCTTTTAATTTTTCATTATCCAATTCGAATTTGCAATGCTCCACTTTCCAATGGTCTATCTCTGCTTCTTGATCGGCGATTTTCTGCCTGAGTTGTTCGATTGTTTTCTGCAAATTGGTAATATCTTCTTTCAAATTATCACATTCCGTCTTCAAATTCAATAAAACTTGTTCCGTGTCCGATAACTTCGTTCTAAGATCTTTATTTTCCTGTTTCAAAGCATCGTTCTCCGCCCTACAATTGTCCAGTTTCTTATTCAAATCGCGCATTTGATCCTCCAATATTTTCAAAGCGTTTCGCATGTTTGCATTGTCGACCGTTTCTCTATCCAATTTAGCTTTTAACTCATTTGCCTCGTTTCTCAAAACTATCAATTCATTTTGCGATTTCTCGTTCTCGCTTCGTATACGCGACAACTGCGGTTCCAAAATCTCAATTTTATGTTCAGCTTCCTCGAGCTTGCGTCTTAATTTATTCATTTCATTGTTCAACGATTTCAATTGTTCTCGCAATTGTTCAAGTTCGTCCTTCAATTTCTTATTTTCGTCCTGCAATTTGTTATTTTCGTTCTTCCACGATTCCAACTCTCTTTTTATCTTCATATTCTCAGCTTCTAATTCATCATTCAACTTTTTCAATCTTTCATTTTCCGTCTTGTTCTCCGCCAATTGCTTGCTCAATTGATCTTTCTCATCTTTCAAAGCAGAATTTTCGCCCTTCATGTTAATTAATTCAGTGGCTAAACTGTCTCCCTCGCCCCTGAGTCCATGAACTTGAGATTTCAGTTCGTTGTTCTCATTTCTCAACTTTTCCATCTCATCCACACATTTGTCGAGGCCGCTTTTCAACGAGTTCATCTCGTTTTTCAATTGATCGATCTCCTTTCCAGCGTTTTCCAATTCCTTTTTCAAACGATCCACTTCGGCACGCAAATCGCTATCTTCCACTTTCGCTTCGTCCAACTTTTTGCTAGCGTCGGTTAATTTTTCTTGCAATTCCGAAATTTTTGGTTCAAGTCGGCAATTTCGTTCGTCAAGCGATCCCTCTCGGATTTCAAGCCCCCAACTTCCGATTTAAGATCGTTGTTCTCAGTTTTTAGCTTTTCTATCTCGTCGATACACTTGTTCAGCCCGTCTTTCATAGAACTTATCTCGGATTTCAATTGATCGATCTCCTTCCTACCATTTTCCAATTCCTGCTTCAAACGATTCAACTCGTTAAGCAAATCGGCGTTTTCCGATCTCATTTTGTCCAATTCCTTTACAGCGTTGGCCACACTTTGTTCCAATTCCGTGTTTTTAGCTTTCAAATTCAAATTTTCGTCCAACCAGGTCACTTCGACCTTCGCGTTCTCCTTCTTAAATTTCTCGTTCTCTATCCTCAGTTTTTCCATCTCGTCCACACATTTGTCCAGAGCATCCTTCAACGAAGATATCTCTAATTTTAATTGCTCCATCTCTTTCTTCGCTTTTTCCAATTCCCTATCCAAATTATCGATTTTACCACGTAAATCGGTATTCTCCGACTCCGCTTTATCCAACTCTTTCTTAACGTTGTCCAACTTATCCTCCAATTCCGAAGTTCTCGTTTTCAAATTGTCGTTTTCTTTCTTCAACTCGTCATTTTCGATCTTCAAGTTGTGCATATTTTGTTGCAGTTCTCGAAATTCCACGTCTTTTATCTCATCCCTATCCTTTAACACATCACTGGTCGCTTTCATCTCGTCCACCTCTCTCTTCGACTCTTCGAGGTCGTCCTTCAAAGCCTTTACGTCCTCCTTCAACGTCTCGTTCTCGAGTTTCATCGTGTCGAAATTCCTCTGCAACTCGTTCTTCTCCGTTCTCAGTTTGTCGAGTTGTTCATCGGCCTTGTCCAGCTCCGTCTTCAGATTTTCGTTCTCCGTCAACGTTCGTTCCAACTCCCTCTTGACACTTTGATTCTCGTTCAACAACGCGTCCCGTTCTCGCTCCACGTTGCTCAATTCATTCGAAAGATTGTCGATTTGCGTCTCCAAATTGTCTATCGTTCGCTTCATACTGTCGTAATCCTCGTTTAACTGCTTATTTAAATCCCCGAGCGCCTTCTTCTGTCCCATCAGATCGACGTTCTCGCTTTGCAACCGCTCCAACCGAGCCCGTAAATTTTCGTTGTCCTCGATCCACTTTTTCGACTCTTCCAACCGGTCGAGAAGTTTCTCGTTCTCCATCCTTCCCACCTCTATCTCATCCTTCAGATCCAAATTCTCCTTTTGCAATCTCTCGAGCTCGTCTCTGTTATCCTCCAGCTCCTTCTCCAACTCCAACAGCTTCTTCTCGAGGACATCCATGTCCTCGCAGCACGCCTCGAGCTCTTTGTTCTTTATCCTTTGCTCTTCCAACTCGTTCCTCAGATTCTTGAGCTCCTCGTCCAAACTCACCTGCTCATCGAGCTTCGCCTCTAACACCTCAACCTTGTTCTTGTAATATTCCTCCAGCTTAGCCTTGTCTTCCAATATGTTTATTATCTGATCGTTCCTCTCCTGCAATGTGTCGCGCATAGTGTTTAACTCGTCCATTAATTTGTCTTTCGATACCCTCAGTTCGTACAATTCTGGCTCCAGATGTTCCAGCTTAGCTTTCAAACCTTCCAAACCGAGCAAGTTTATCTCTGACTGTCTTAACGTGTTCAGAAGATCCGAAATCTGAAAGATGGAGTCCTCTCTTTTCGTAAACAATATAAATCATAAAGTAGTGAGAGATTTTAACGCATAATTTAATTCGCGGAATATTTCTTCTCAAATGAAATTGTATAATCTTCGTATTAATTATACATAAAATTAACAAGGCATCTAAACTTTTCTATTACGTTGATGTTTCAAAAAAAAAAAAAGTAACACAGAAGAAAACTTATTTTCTTTTTTCACCGCCTATGTCCTTTTTACGTCATCTCTCTCTCTTTCTAAAAAAAAGTCTCTGAATACTAATTAACCTGTTACCTACACTTCCCATTCCTAGCAACTTTCCATCTCAAACGACAAACCCTCAAACGAACGCTTCAATGTAACACGAGAGAGAGAGAGAGAGAGAGAGAGAGAGAGAGAGAGAGAGAGAGAGAGAGAGAGA